AAATATTCTGCCTTTTCAATATTTCCTAGGATATTTCATTTTTCTGGGAGGGGGCTGGATGATAACTTCCCACACTACTAACTAGAAATTAGGAACCTATAGTAATCTACGCACTGTACAGATGCTATATTATATATAACATTTTTATCACTTGTCATACTTTAACATTGCATATCTTTAACTATCCTTATGTTTATTATCTATTTTGTTGATCATTTTTCTTTATCGATTCCTTAATCTTTGCTTCTATTCTCTAACCAGCTGTACCATATATTCCAAATCTAATAGTATTTAGTTTCTCCTCCTATCTTTTATTTCCATTGTCAGCCTATCCATCTCGCACATTCTAGCACTTTATCACTATTCCACCACGAGATATACTTTCATTTTTTCAATTTCGCCCTTAAACAATTCTGGCCGTTGTTATTATTATTATATGTAGGCACAATTCGTTTTCTGAGGCCCGCACACTACACCGAACCCTAAACGTAACGTTAACGGGCTTCTTGTGCGAAGCCACAAAAATGAAAAAGCTAGCTGAGCTTTGCCTGCTGCATGAACACATCTGCCAGACCTTCCAGCACGGGTGAATGCAGACAGCCCTCCATCCTATTCTTAAAACTGCCCTTCCATTGGTGAATGCCCCACCAGGGAGAACTGGAATAAGCAAGATTTTCCCTATTGCAGATGGAGCTGGTTTGCTCCCCAATTTGCGGCTGATGGAAAGGTGCCCTTGGCAAGATCAAAGCCTTCTCTCCCCCCTCTGGGCTCCGCCCCCTCTTGGTTTAGCCACGCCCCCTTCGATCTTGCGGAGAACACCTTACCAGAGAAGGAGGATGGGCGGGGCAGGCGCCTCTCGCCCAGACTTTTCTCTGCCATTGGCTGCTTTTAGGCCCAACCTACCAGCTCCTCCAATCGCAAGCCTCGAGATTCTCCTCCGCATTTTCCCAGCCCGCTGAGAGCGAACCTCCTTTCCCCCCCCTCCCTTCTCCTTTGTAAGACTTTTGGCCTTTGCCGGCTGCCGTCTGGACCAAGCGCGAATCCTCTCCGGCTGGGGGAAGAAACGAGGGAGCGCGGCTTGGCGCTCAAGGAAGGACGAAGCCGCACCGGGAAAGGAGGGAGGGGGGCCGGTGGCTCCCTTCCTCCGCAGCCGCGATGTCCGTCCTCAGCTGGAAGCCGTTCGTCTACGGGGGATTGGCGTCGCTCGTGGCCGAATTCGGTGGGTGAGATGGAGAGGAAAGGCTGGGCCCCGCGCGCATGCGCGCTTTCTCTTGACACCGCCCCTTTCGAGTTACCGGGCGGTAGGCCACGCCCATTTCCCCGGTGCCTAGCAACGCCCTAGCCCGGTTCCACTGCGGCCTACCTGCTCCCACTCGGCCTGCGGAGACCAGGCGAGAAAGGGCAGGAAAATCCGTTGGGCGGCCTGGTCTTGGCCCAGCTCTCCCCCCCTCCTCCCCAAATCACTGTCCAGCAGTTGACCTTGAGTGTCCAGTCCTTATTTTGGAGAAAGAACATCATAATCCCGGAGTTATTGTTGTGCAGATTCAAGCTGACAAAGATGCTTCTTTTTTTTTCCTAAGAGGCAACTGGACTTTTTTTTTCCTTTGAAGACATTTCGCTTCTCATCCAAAGAAGCTCTGACTGGATGGTGTGGAATGGAAGGATTCTCCATACAGTCAGAGCTGAAGAAGCTTCTTGGATGAGAAGCGAAATGTCTTCAAAGGAAAAAAAAAGTCCAGTTGCCTCTTAGGAAAAAAAA